AGTGACCAGATGTGCAGACCTTAAAATTTTACAATATGCAAATGTGATTTTATATCACTTCATCAGATTACGAGTTCATTACCCAAACCCAAAAAACTAATTACAGGTACATACAATCTTATGCATAAGCAGAATAGTAGAAAATATTACAGAGGAATGGGTAAAAGAGATCGACAGCAGCTGGAAGAGACCTAAAGCTGCTTCAACTTCTCCAAACTCCAATGAAAAGTGAAAACCCTCGCCGCCTCACTGTCCTCACGTCAAATGGAATGAAATGAGGAAATTGGGATTCTGGGTCTGGAAATCAGAGAATTGGTTTGTTTATTTCATCATTTGGGTCAGGTAATGGGCCGACCCATTACATATAATAAATTGCAAGAGTAATTTGTAAAAACTAAAACTAAATTAAATGGGGCTAAAACCTCATTACCCGACCCCGCCCCGGGTTGAAGTTCCCTGCCACAAATACCTGATTAAGCGGGTAATTCCTGCCCCGTTTAGGGCGGGTATCGAGTTTAATGGGGGTTTTTGCCTTCCCTAAACACCCGTTGTCATGTAATTTCCACTTATCAAGGCTTGGATAAATCTTGGGCCAAAACCAATTATTGAGTTGGCGTTGACTCCATATACTGTTTTGTACAAGTCAAATCGAATAATTCCAAGCTGAAAAAGAAAGGAAAAGAATTTTCAATTACGCTCTTTGTACAAAATTAATGTATACGAAGTATTATTGTATTAAAGATACACAAGTGGCAGCACTGTATTGGTTGCCACAAAATTATTTTTTGTCCAAGACTCAATGAATGCTTACTACATGTGCACCTGCAATGCTATATGTACGTTTCTTATGTATATTTAGCACTTATTTGATCCCTTTTTTAAAAAAAGTATTTTTTTTTTCTATCACACATTTTTCAATAAAATAATGTTACACACAAATTCAAAAAAATTTCTTATTTTTTATCAATTTACTGTTTCAAAATGCATTCTACACCAAAAAAAAAAAAAGAAAGAAAAAAAAAACTCGTAGTAACGTCCAAGAATTTTAGTTTTTTATGCCAAATGAGTGACCATCTTTTCACGTCACAAACTCTATAATTGCAATATTTTCAAAAAATTGCAGCCTAAATCCTCATTCTTTCACAAACATAGCACTTAATTCCCAATTAGTTTGAGTTTGACAAAGTTACCCCTTAAATTATGGACACGTGCAGGTCATGTGATAGCCAGACAATCTTTGGGGACGGTTTCCATCCAAATCGAGACTTATGTGCCTAATTGTGAAACGTTGAGAATATATATGCACCTTCGAAAAAATTGAATAGGCTTTAATTCTTAAAGGATGAGGACTTCATATGCAATTTTCCAATCTTTTGGCATATTATTAGTGTGGTTGGAATTGATCCTTCAAAATGTATTTTTGGATTTCTCTTCT